GCCTCCTCTGCATCCTTCTTCTTCTTCTGTGCCTCGGCATGTGCCCGGTTTACCGCCCGCCGCACTGCGTCCTCTGGAACGGGCGATGGGAAAGCTCGCACGTCTCTCATCCTCTGTTGGAACGGCGAACGCAAGTAAGGAAACAGAAAATGGTGAGGAACGAGGAGGCCTCGGAGGTGGCAGCAACGCGTGACTCACCAGGGTTATGTACCCCTGCGACGGGCGCATCGGGAACAGGAACAAACCACCGCTCTTTGACCACCTGTCCACCGTCCCTTTCACCCGACGTATAATCTCCTTATCGGAGAGGGCGACGGCGGACATCCGGACGCCATCGAGCGGCTCATCCTGTCTCATCTCGAACAGGCGCCGCCGCCGAGCCATTAGCGGCAGCACCCTTCGGCGCTGGAGGGCCGCCACGACCATAGCCGCCGTAAGGCCGTGGTCCCACAGCCTCTCCAGGCCCTCCAGGAGCGGCTGCAGCTTGGGCTGATCGTCCCTCGGGACGCCATACCTCCACTTCTCCGGACAGCCCTCCACGATCCGCCCGGTGTAGGGGGGATGTCCGCCGTCATCGTTGCGGAGGTAGAACCAGCCGGTGTACCAGCGGTGACTGGTTGACGCGAGCTGGGTCGGGATGTAAAGTTGCTGCCGGTCTTGGCGCACCTAGAGAATGCAGCCACCGGCCCTCATTGTCTTCCTCGTACCCGTCGTACCCATCGGCTTGGTGGTATGCCCGCGCGGAAGAGATGGAGCCACATCTCCCAATGGGGGGCAATGCCCAAGTACCCCTCGCAGACGGCGACAAAGATGGCCGCCTGCGTGATGGAGTTGGGGTTGATGTTGTGCAGCTCCACGCCGTAGTAATGCGGGAGCGCCTGCATGAATTGGTCCGCCGGCAGGCCGAGACCACGCTCATGGAAAGACACGAAGATCACGACGTACCCTTCGCGTGGCCTCGGCTCTGGCTCGCCCGACAGAGCAATCCACTCCGGCCTATCGGGGTCGGTGATCGGGCGGAGAAGGCCATCGTCGACGAGCGATTGTAGCATCTCCACAGACACTTCGAACGGATCCCAAGGATCCACCGGGAGGATGATAGGGCCGCCGGCCATTGCGAGGTGGAGAATGCTGCTACGGTGGTAAATCTCTCTCCCCCCCCTCGCCCTTCTCCTTCTTCTCCCCAGTGCTCTCTGATCCTAGCAATGGCTCGAGGGCAGCAAAAGCGAATGCAGGCAAGGTAAGGAAGGGAGGGGCGAGGCTCGTTGCATATTTATGCAGGAAGGGGATGAAACGGACGGGCGACGAAATCGGGGAAGTTTCCCTCAAATCTGGCACAGTTAATCTAGATCCAATTTAACCGCCCACGCGCCCACCTTTTCCTCATTAATCGCATGAACAGTTATGTCCCGTCCGCTGACACAGCGTCGCATCCAACCACAGCAACAGTAGGCCCTGAGAAACCGCCTCAAAAGGTGCGCCCGCTGTTCTCAGTCGATGGGAGGGGAATATCCCCCCACCCGATTCCTTTCAGACTAAGGAACTGGGCGTCGAGCCCGTTACGGTCCAGGGGTTCGAAGGATGGGCCCCCAAGAGTCTCGACAACCACCCCAGAATAACAGAGTCAGGGACAACTATGGGCGAGCCCGTACATGGCCGAGGCCCGAGCAAGCGATCGCTCGGGATGCCCTAAGTCGTGTCCGAGACTGGTAGGGAGGTCTCCAATTGGGATCCCACCGTAGGGAGGCGCCGAGCCCCCGGGGCCAATCGAACGGCCCTGGGACCCACTAAAGAAGTTCTCTGGTACTTTTGGAGTGCGTCTCTAGACCACTAGCCGACCCCTATCGAATGGGGCATGGGCCTCCACTCGGACTTACCCGATAACAGCTCACCGGAAGTGTCACAGCTCGCGCCCACCAAGGGTAGCCTGACATATTCCACCCCTCCTTACGAACAAAAAGGATGCGCGAGGGTCGCACAAAAAGACAGGGGAACTCCTGATCGCCCTCTCACTCCGTGTAGAGGCTCGGGGGCTCTTCCTGCAACCTTGCCGAGACCCAGCAACCTAGGCTCGCACTCGAGGGCTCGGCAAACAACCCCTCCTTCCGAACGAAAAGGATGCGCGAGGGTCACACAAAAAGCCTTGAGAACAACTGATCGCCCTCTCGCTCCGTGCAGAGGCTCGAGGGCTCTTCCTGCAACCTTACCGAGACCCAGCGACCCAGGCTCGCACTCGAGGGCTCGGCAAACAACCCCTCCTTCTGAACGAAAAGGATGCGCAAGGGTCGCATAAAAAGCCAGGGGAGCACCAGACCGCCTTCTTGCTCCGTGTAGAGGCTCGGGGGCTCTTCCTGCAACCTTGCCGAAAAAGAAAAGCAACCCAAGTTCGCACTCGGAGGCTCGGAAAAACGTGATAATGGGCACCGAGCCCGTTATGGTCCAGGGGTTCGAAGGCTGGGCCCCCAAAGGTTTCGACAGCCGCCCCAGGACAAACAGAGTCAGGGATGACTGTGGACGAGCCAGTACATGGCCGAGGCCCAAGCAAGCGATCTCTCAGGACGCCCTAAGTTGTGTCCAAGACTAGCAGGGAGGTCTCCGAATGGGATCCCACCGTAGGGAGGTGCCGAGCCCTCAAGGCCAATAGAACGGCCCTAGGACCCACTAGAGAAGCCCTCTGGTACTTTTGGAGCGCGTCTCTGGACCGCTAGCCGACCCCTATCGAACGGGGCATGGGCCTCCACTTGGACTGACCAGATAATAGCTCACTGGAGATGTCACTGCTCGCACCCACCGAGGGTAGCTTGGCACGCTCCACCCCTCCTTCCGAACGAAAAGGATGCGCGAGGGTCGCACAAAAGCCAGGGGAACTCCTAATCGCCCTCTCGCTCCGTGCAGAGGCTCGGGGGCTCTTCCTGCAACTAAGCCAGGGTCCAGCGACCCAAACTCATACTCATGGGCCCGGCAAACACGATAAAACTCCTTACTCAGCAAAGAAAAAGCCCCGGGAGGAGTAAATCTACTCCTCCAGGGCCTCGGGGGCTACACCCGACGGGTGCGCTCGCGCGCACCCACCGGAACCACAAGTACAAAACACAATCCTGACGGGAGCCGCTGCAAGCCAGAATATCGACAAAGCCTCAGGGAGAATGCTCGCACTCTCCCCAAGGCTCGGGGGCTACTGTCGGACACCATACAAAGGGGTACCCTAAGCAAGAACTAAAAAGATTGCTTAGACCTTGCAAATATCAAAGCCAAGGGACAACCACGGGGTCTCGGCTGATTCTCCGATTCGCCCGAGGCCCGCGCCGCAAAGGCCTCGGACGAAAGGCCAACTCTCCGCCTTGCCGAGGCCCTCTCGCCCCGCTAGGCTTCGGACGGGTTATCGATTCTCCGATTCGCCCAAGGCCCCACGCATAAAGCCTCGGACGAAATACCGATTCTACGACTCGCTCGAGGCCGGCTCGGTAACAACCTCGTCGCCTCCGTCTCGACCGACTTCTCTGACAAAATGTCACGCATCCAACCACTCCCGCTACGTCAGCCGCACGTCGACGCAGTGCAGCAAAGCAACCGACGGGACGGGAGACAGGACTGAGCAGGGGTTACCGGCCACTGTGCTCAGCACTGCGCCCATGACTGGCGCCCGTACTACACTATGCCACCTAATCCCTGCTCCAGGAACAGCGCGGCGTGGGGAGTCAAGTCCGGGTCACTATAGCCTCGGAATCAGTGTATAGGACCAACTGCTCCCACCAAGCCTCGGCAATCCACTTCAGGGTCTCGGCGGCCTCGGGATTCACGCCCACCGAGCCCCCCACGATGGCTCGGCCTCGGCACCAACTGAGCCTTGGCTTTTTACACTGTGAACGTACAGCGACTGACACGTCGTCGGCCATGCCTTGCGCCAAGCTATCGCTGGAGCTCCCACGTCGCACAAGATCGGGTGTGACCGGCGCGTTGCTCCAGTGCATCAAGGACAAGACCACTTCATTGACCACGCCACCACAGTAGCAAGCTACAGGACTCAGACACACCACCTCCACTCGCCGTATAGCAAACACATGTATCACCCCTGTCCCCCCTTCAACTATAAAAGGAGAGACCGGAGCCGTTTCTAAGGAGGAAGTTAGACGAGCACACACATAGACTCACGTAGATTCAGACACACGCTCCCCCGCTGCCTGAGAGCAACATCTCAAGCAGCCCGCACCACTCCCCGCAGAGACCTGGGGCTAGTTCCCTCTCTCGCCCAGCTTGTAACCCCTACTACAAGCACTTCGGTGCAATGAATATAAGATCGATCTCTCAGACTAGACGTAGGGCACTGATTGCCTGAACCAGTATAAACCTTGTGGCTCTTTGCATCACCATCCGGGATTAGGGGCACGCAGTTCAAATTCTCTAGTTGGTTGAGAACCCCTGGTCCGAAACACCGACAGTATTGCTGAACTAGTTTGAGCGAACAGGATAACTATGTTCGAGAGTCATGTCCTTGAGATATATATACACAAGACCCATTGGTGTGTCATCTTCATTGCGCTTTTCAGACGCGATGGCGTGGCTTCCCATGCGGGACGAGGACGAAGTTAAATGGGGAAAAAAGTTTTGAGGACAGAAACACACTTAAATGGTTCATAGATGAAAGTTTAAGGATGAAAATGGTCACTTTGAAGACTAAAACAGTTCTTTTTAAAAGTTTAGAACGAAATTGAATATTAAACAATAGTTAAGGGACTAAAATGACTATTCTGCCAAAAAGAAATCAAGCGCTAATGTAACCTTCAACGGCTTTATAAAGCCTATACGGTCAGGTTAAGGTTTAAGGTCATTTGGCGGTCACGTTCAAAGGATACCTGCTACATAAGCCGCTCTGTTTTATTAAAGCCAATCAGCTGCTGTACACATATATGCACAAAAGTGAAAAGTTAGCTAAATACTTTTTACACAGGCTGATGGAGCCGCCGAGCCGAGAGCCCTGAACTGCTAGTCCGTGCATGTCTTCAGGCCTGCACGTACAGAGCAACGAAACCGCCGACGGTGGTGGCTATGGCTAAGCCCCAGACGACGGCTGCCGCAGCACCCGAAGGCATGGCCGCCGCCACCTTCCAGGCGAATGAGAGCGTGAGCAGCGTGGTGAGCGGCCACACGGCGCGCCTCGCCCGCTCCCTGGCCGGCGACCCTGGCGCCGCCCGCTCGTAGGCGCGGAGGCAGACGAACAGAAGGAGCAGGGTGAGGTACGACCCCGCGACGAAGAGGATGGAGGCCGCGTCGCCCCTGGCGCGGTACATGGCGAGGCCCGAGTTGACGGTGAGCACGCCGAGGCCCACGCCGGCGATCAGGGTCTGCCCGCGATTCCTCCGGTGATTGTTGTCCGCCATGGCTAGTGCCTAGTGGGCAGTGGCGGTATCAGTGTAGCAGTATGTGATCAAGCCTGAAGCCGGTAGGCAGGTAACCAGAGAGCTTGCGGAGCGTGCTTTGGTGTGTGGTGTGGAATCTGATCTGTTTGGAGTTTATATCGGTGGGCTACTATAATGTTTAATTTCGTTAAGATTGACGTGTCGATTGTAGGTAGCTAGGAGAGCGTCGCAACTAGCAAAATCCGCTGCGCTCGCAGATTTGTTTTTATAGGCGAAGACTCGCAGGGAGTCGTAGGTGTAGTACATGCTCTGGTCTGGATAGGACCCCCGGGCTCCGGCCCGACGGTCACGTCGTCAGGTGAAATTTCAGGGAAATTGCGGGGGTGGCGTCGTACACAGTTGCCTCTCTGGTTCGTCCAGTGCATCGGTGGCAGATTAGAACTTGTACTACGCACGTAGTCCGCCTACTGGGCCTTATCCACCAGAAGGCGGCAACTTCTGGGCCGCGTAATCTATCAACATCTCAACGGATGATGACCCACGCTGAAAACGATGTTGGGCTTGCACTGGACCACCAATTCTTCTCTTTCTCGGTATAAGGGCCACGACGGGGATAAACACCGACCAGTCGACCACGCCGTCCAACGACGACAGAGCAAACAAGAGGCGGTGCGGACCATGCCGACAAGCCGACCGGCAAGAGGCGGTGTGGTCCATCTTCACTGATCAATGCAGATCCATCAAATTACATGTCTGATGGGGTATCGCTCGGTTTGGACAGCAATTCTAAAAATTCAGTATCCACAGATTCTAATGGAATGTACGTACGTAGGATGTGTTCCTAAAATCGGTCTCCTAGATTTTATTTCGCAAATTTTAACAATCCGGTACAGACGGTACCTACGATGCTGTTTGGTTCTGGTCTTCTGGACTTCAAAGAGTTACGTAAGTGATAACCAAATTTCCACCAAAAGGAAAGAGGGAAATAGTAAACTTCATATAGCTCATAGAATCCGCGCAAGGAGAACGCCCCTGGTTACTGTTTACAGACGATGCTCCAGTGCAGATCCGCCACGTCGTGTTGCTCCGACCGAAATGCGGTCTTAATTTCTTGGTCTACTCAGTTTTTTTTGGAGCAAATTTTGATCTACTCAGTTGAGGGTTGACCCAAGGTTCGTGCGTGTGCAGCCCTGTTTTTGGGTTTTCGTGGTCCATCGTTGGCCTCGCTGCCTCCGCCTCCATCTCTCCGTCCGTCCTCTTCCTTTCCACCGGCCGCAGCGCGCGTAGCCCGAGTGCCTCACCGGTCGCTGCCTCCGCCTCCGCCTCCATCTCTTGGTCCTCTTCCTCTCCACCGGCCACAGCACCCGTAGATGCCACGCCCGGGTGCCTCGCCGTCACCGCCTCCGCTTTGTCCTCTCCTTGCCCAGTGCGCAGACGCCGCCACCGGCAGATCTTTGTTGCCTCTCCCTCTTGCCCAGCGCCGGCGCACATGGATGTGTTACCTTGCCGTGCCGGTGGCTGCGGCAGCGGACCATGACAGAGGGGCGGTGATGGCCCTGGCGCCGATTAGAGGCCGCGGCCATCGTCTTCTCCGTCGGCAAGTATGGGCTCCCCGTTGTCTTCCAATACATCGCTAGACCTCACCGCCATCCTCGAATACCTCGCCATCGTTCTGACAACGACAGGTACGTGTATCCTCCTTTTCGATCTCGAATTCTCGGTCTGTCCGATCTCTGCCTTCTTCTCGATCTCGATCTCATTGTTGCGCCCGGATGTGATTTGGTTATGTCTTCATTCCTTATGCGTGATTTCCATGCCAAAGAACTGCTCTAGGCATCAGCAATAACCCCTTCTCTACCAGGCCAGTCAGGCGGACCGACGTTGGCAACGTCTAAATGGCCGAACCAATTCCATTTTTTTTTCAGAAAAACACTGGCCAATGATGGTTCAGTTTGGTGCGTACCAATCTGACTTCGATTGTCTCATACTATTGTTCCATTTCCATACTTATTTATATGTGTACATGGCATCTTTATATGCACAAATATGGTACTTCTAGCATTCCCTATTGTTGGTTCATGCTAAAAATCACTTTATCTTTAAAGTTATGTTCCAATGGAGATGTGGAGGATCTTGATTCACAATAGAACATCATGCTGGTCATAGTCTCCACTTTTCTTCTTTCAATAATGACAATGTGAGATTAATAGTGTTCTTCAAATTTAAGGAAGTCCTTCTGCCATTTATGTTTGGACTAAAGTTTCTCACCAATACTTTTGTAATTATGTTTGGTTTGATCTATAGTTTTCTCCATGAGTGGCGAATATAGTCTCACTTACTACCATCATCCCTTCCATGACGGCGTGCTATCCTTAGTGTCGCCTCGGCAATGTATACATCAATCGTCTGTTTAATTTGGATCCCTCTCTACTGGTGAATCGCGAAAAAGGAAATAATTTCTTATCCAACTAGCTAATCATACTTGGTTACCTAGCAGGTGAATGAGATATTGCACTATTCATTTTCGCTGCAGTAATATTGTTCATTTATATCCTAAGATATTATCTTCAGATCAGTTCACTTTGGAAAAGGAATTTTTGTTCATTTATATAGTCCCACCTTTTTACCAAGTTAAGAATCCATGTTAATATATTGTGATGCAAGTTCAGACTGCAAAAGTTCGCCTAATCATCATTGCTTTTTACAGGGATGAGATGGGAGATAGTTAAAATATATTGTGTCCAGATCAATGTGCAATTGAATCAACTGAGAGCAAAATCAATCTTTTCAAGGTTTGGTGGTATTTGATATTGCATTTTCAGTTTGTTCCTTGATATTTTCTATCCCCGATTCTTCATACAAATATCTAGTTTCTGATATAGTGAGTCGAGCATTTCGATAGATATGCTTATTTTGGGTTATCGCTGCAAAACATGGATTGTGTCAAATCATGTATCCTTGTAGTTGACCTGCCTCTGATCCTATCAATAATATGTACTCTGGATTATGCTAATTTTGTAGGTCTAACAATAGGCACCTTGATCGGTGGTCATGAATCCGGTTCGAAGAGCTGACCTGCTTCCTGTTCTACTGACCTGGTGATCGGTACTCATGTTAAGCTGCCAAATAGTGCAAGTTTTTGCATAGAGCATATTATGAATCCTGACATGATTCTGAAATAATTGTGTATTAGATTAAATTCTACAAATTTCATTGCCAGTCAAGGCTGCCACACTGCAATTTTACAGAGGATGGTGTTTGTCGATTATATGATGTCGTACTCTGGTTATCCTACTGCAGAAGATTCATGCCATGCAGTTTTGTCAAACTCTGGTGCTACCTCTTCCAGCTCCTGCCTCTGTTTTAGCATACTTCGCTTCCTTCATGCATTCTATATTAGCTACATTTTGCTTACAGTAAAGGACATACTCGAAAAATTAGCAAACTTAATTAGTATCCATTATAACATTGCTACAGGAGTCCAGTTCAAAAATAGGTATGTTTGTGTTTCAGCTCTCTCACAAAGCATATAGACTCAGTTACCTTCTCATAGCACCTAATGTCATATCAACTTTTACCAATTTTGGAAAATGATCTTTATACATATAGCGACCTCTATATATTTAGCATCGTATCTAATTTAATTAGTGCCTTAAGTGAAATTTATACTTTTGGGCACCAGAAAAGAAGTTAACCAAGTGAGGCAGCACTCTGTTTTTCCTATTTATCCTTCATTACAAAGCATGCTAACCATACGGCTAGCCGAACTTTGGTGGTGATTAATAACATAAACGGATTTGGAAAAGCTTGATCACATTGGGCTGGCATTGGCAAAATTATTTCTAATAAGATGCAGTTCACATGTGCAGTATCTTTGTAGTTGCATGCTTGATTGGTTTATGGCCAAACGTCATGTGTCTGTAGTTGTAGGAACCCCCCAATGTGCATTCTGCCTACACATTATCTGCCATGTATTACCTTTTATTATTGTAAAATTAGCCTCTTTACTTTTTTTATACAATGCCCTCATTACTTTGCCTGACACATCTTTTATTTTTCAGGTTATCAAATTAATTTGGAAAATCCTGTTGCTTATCTATTCGATAATATATATGGCAGTATGCTCCACTGCATGGATCCATTGAGAGGTCTAATAAGGCATTTTGGGATGGTAAGGATTCCTGATGTTTTAATTAATAATGTAATATTGTGTGTCCTTCCATCTTGTGTTTTTTCATTTACTAATCACGGTTATGATACATAATGTTCATACCCCCATTCTTTTGTCGCATACAAATTTATGTACATAATGCACACCATGTATTAAAAGTTACTTTTAACTTTGCAATTACACGATACTAAATGTTAACCTGACCTCAAATAAAAATTACTTTTGCTTACTCTGCACAGCCTAAATATTTGACAGTTGTATTTCTATGTGCCCAACATTCAATTTTAACAATGTGTTAAATTCCTCAATGCTGCCTCCGGTTCATATTCAGGCTTCAGTGTGATGACAGGCTTTAGCTCACTGCTTCCTCTGAACAAAATTAGATACGCTGTTTTACACAATGTTTGCTCCATAACTCACTACAGCTCAGACATTGTCACCTCTTTATAATTTGCTTAGTTTGCCATTTTCTCTATCTACATGTTCTTGATACAACTTTTCTAGCTTTTCTGCTATACATATCTCTTTGGGGCCCTATGCATATTACTCTCTGTACCATTTATACTCATTTCCATGGCCACGACAAACCGGAAACTCAGTTGCTTAGTTATAAGGCTTCTCCCCACAGCTATATACTTCCAACTAAATATGTCAAATGATATTCAAATTTCTTCTTCAAAATTGTTATTCTTTGCCATGAAACTATATGATTACTTTAGTTTATTCATGCAGATATAAGGTGGCAACAGCACCTGGCAGTGTTATGGCCTTATTGCTAGGTCAACTTAACTTGCAGATAAAGCCAGTCCAATGATGCTATTTCTTGAAGTTAATATATACAGGCTAGCGG